CAAAGGGGATATTTGCCAACGTTGCCACGCTTGACAGGCGGATAGGCAACCGTAGTTCCCTATTATTTTGATTCAGGAAGATGCTGCTGCCCACCTGACTCATTTCCCTCTTTCGCCTCTCACGACAATCACGGTAGAGGTACGGGGTAGTGATGGTAGTGGTAATTTTACACCACCACGACACGGCTCAAAATCAATAATGAATATTGTTTAACTTTATATCGTAGTAACTTTAACTAAATAAGATGAATACTTCCAAAACAATGAACTATATATTAAATTCGTGTACCTTATATCCCGTGTTTGAAAGAAAAATGTAAGAAAAGTACCTATAATGTAGTTAAAAATATTTTCCAAAAAAAAAATTGAATATTATCTGTTTGTTTAATGTTATATAATCCAGTTACAGTTGTGTTTAAACGATTTGTTTTCGTAGAGTATTTAACGAAGAAGGCGTTCTATTTATCTCCACAACATGAACACAAACTGTTATCATGTGACTCACTTGACGGATTACTGACAAATCGACGAGCGTGCCCGAGGGTTTGCAAACAAGCAGGGTGCAGGGGTCGAACGCACCTGCGCCCGCGCCGCTGACATTGCCAGATAAGATAATCATATTGTTCTGTCACCGCAGTCGGCCCAATGTCACAGTGACCTTAATGACACCGAATGACGCGCCGTCACCGCGCGTTCGTCGTACCGACCTTGCGATATTTATCTAATCTTCCATTCGCGAAAAATTTGTTAGCGCGATTATTTTTCGTATGTATGTGATCGTGTTTTGTTAGAGGTCATCATATGCGAGCGAAAATTTCGCATGTTTATTCAAATATAATGTTTCGTGTATTTTTGCATAGATTAGATCTGATCACAAAAATAATAATTAAAAAGTCCAGGGTTAAAAGGTAAAGAAAACATTAAGAATATTAACTAAGTAAAAGTAAAGCAAAGTAAAGTTACAGCCTATATACGTCCCACTGCTGGGCACAGACCTCCCCTCATTTCTGAGAGGGTTTTAGGGCAAGGAAGTGTCCGCCGCGCGGCCCCAATCCGTGTTGGCGAACTTCACATGTCGTCGAAATATTTTTTTCTTATTCCTCAGACATGCAGGTTTTCTCACGATGTTTTCCTTCATCACTGAGCACGTGGTAAATCAGCACTTAAAATTGCAATTAACAATTTCATTGGTGCCGGCAGGGATCGAACCCGGGTTACTCGTGTTCTGTTATATTTACAGCGAGCGTTAACCATCTGAGCAACCACGGTTCTTAACTAAGTACAAGGAACTAATTAGACAGCTGCGTGGCGCAGTGGCTTAGCTTGAGTTGCGGCGCCGAGTGCCGCGGGTTCGATCCCGCGCGGAAAAAGTATTTGTATGGCCTACAAATAGTTGTTCCGTTATTATGTTATCTCAGTGTAAAGGTAATGTTTTAAAAGAAAAAAACAGTACATAATAAACGTGATAAGATTCGGAAAATATAGTTTCATTCAATGTGTTTTAGGACAGGGTAACAAAGGAGCACACAGTCCACCTGATGGTAAATGGTTGCTGTGGCCCATAGACATCTACATCTATCCTCGATTACGAATTAAAATGCAGATGCGTTGTCACCCGTGAGGACTTAGATGGAATGCCCCTTTTCCAGTAAAAAGGGTCTCCGGTTCTCTACACTCACCATACGAAACACAGCAGCATTAAGCTATTGTTTCACGCGAGTAGAATACCAGTGAGAGCGTGGTCCTTCCCCGGTTGAGCCGACCTATTCGTGCTACAACTATACTTCTAATATAACTGCAGCATGGCTCTAACACGTATAAAATCGTTCAAAAAAAGTGTATTCGCATAATTATAAATAATAAATTATGTAAATATTAAAACATTTACAGTTAAAGAAGATTGAAAGGTAATTAATTATTGTTTTCGGAAATGTCAATGTAATAATTGACTTTAACCTTTTTTTTTAAATATTACCGCCACAGGGATTTTCTCTTGTATCGTGGAGGCAGTTTGCATACATAAATTGTACAAGTACAAACATCCAGATCCGGAACATTTACTTGTAGGCCATACAAATACTTGTTCCGTGCGGGATTTAAACCCGCGGCCCTCAGCGTTATACTAATTGCTAAGCTACTGCGCCACGGAGCCGTCAATATTTATCACACAATATATGTGAAATGGCCAATTTATGACACATTTCGTCCTGTGAGAGTCTAATAAAGGACATGTTCACAGAATCTGGAAATATATTACTGGTATCAGAAAAACTATCTCAAAAATACTAGGCTTAAATTGATAAATTGGTAACGGGAACGTCTATTTTGTGGGTATTACGCTAAATTAGCATGAGTCAATGGACATGTATATTTAATTGTTTTCTGAGATAATTTTTATATTTTAATATGCAAAAAAAAAACCAAGATGACTAACACTTTTTTGAAATATTTTAGTATTATTTTTGCAGTGGGGTGGCTTAAGAGAATTATTTACCCCATTTTGTTCGTGGATGTCGTAAGAGGCGGATATGGGATATGCCAGAAAATATATGTCGGTATAAGCATTCCTTTAGCTCAGACGTAAAATACTTAGAACGGCGATGGGAAGGAGTATCAAAGGTGTGAAATATATGGCACTGCGATCGTCTGCCTGCCAAGCGTACGTAGGTCACTCAATAAGTTTTGAGATGCTCGAAATTTACAAATGGAACGCACCCATGTAATATGTTTCTAAAAAGCAAATTTATTTGAAATTAGAACTCCATAAGCCAATTGCTCAATATTAAAAAAAAAAAACAAAGTTCTATTAATTTTCCTGCAACGCTTCCCGCGCTTTTCATTTAAAACAAGCTTGCTACATATTTATTTATCTATGTTTAAAACGATGGATCTTAAGTCTTAACCGTGAAAATTTGCACGCTATGATTTATTATGATTTTAAATTTGGTTTGACCGAACAATTAAGTTTACAACGGTTACAGTCAGCGTTAGGGGATTCAGTTGCATCACGCGCAACAATTTTTTGGTTGTTTTCTGAATTCAAAAGGGGTAAAATTAACCTTAAAGATGACCAAAGAACCGGGGCCCCGCAAACAGCAGTAACGGCGGACAATGTATGGACTACTGAAATGTTGGTGCGAGGATACCCACGAATCACATATACGGAAATCGAAAAGATTGTAGGCTAATGCCTACAATCTTTCCTTGCCTTCGGGGAGCATTCATACCATCCTACATCAACATCTTGGAGTGAGGAAGCTTTGTTTTCGATGGATCCCTCGTTTGCTCTCCGAAAGCGAAAAACAGACTCGTGTGGATTGGTGCCATGAAATGCGTCTACGTTTTGAAAACGGGGCATCTAGGCGTGTTTCAGAAATCATTACTGGTGACGAGACGAGGATCTATCAATATAATCCGGAAAATAAAAAGCAATCATCGGTATGGGTCTACTCAGAAGGACAGTTACCGACAAAACTGCAAAGACCTTGCAACATCGGCGAAAAAATGGTGGCTAGTACTTTTTTCACGGAGCAGACTTTTGTCGACGTCAATGCATATATGCATATATACTACAGTTGCATTACCCAAAGCTTTTCAAGCTGTGCGGGACAGAAGATCTAAGACCGGGCTTCGGGGAATCATGGTGCATCACGATAACGCCTCTTCACATACCTCCCTTGGAACAAAAGCATTAATTGAGGAATCTGGTGTTGAAACTCTAAGTCCCTGACTTAGCTCCTTGTGATTTCTTTTTGTTCCCAAGAGTCAAAGAAAAAATAAAAGGGAAGTTTTTTCAAGCGCCGAAGAAGCCGTGGCTGCCTACGAAGAAGCGAATACCGACCTGTCAGATCAAGACTTGCAAAAGTGTTTTCAGAGTTGGTTTAAGCGAATGGAACTTTGTATAGAGCATGATAGAGAATATTTTGAAAAGATGTAAAATAAATATTAATAGTATCTAGAATACTTTTTGTATATCTCAAAACTTATTGAGCGTCCTACGTATCAGAAAAGGCAACACCTCCCCACAACTGAAAAGGCCAAGCACGGGATTTTTATGCGCTGGTAAAAAAGTATTATTTAATATTTTATTTAATACTTTATTTAATATATGTTCGAGGATATATATATATATATATATATATATATATATATATATATATATATATATATAATATGTTGATTAATGATTAATAAGTGAGACCTTCAACAAACGTCATCACCCGGAAATTGTGATGTAAGTGTAGGTACGCTCTGTTACAATTTTCCAAAGCAGGAAATATAAATCTACGACGGCCAAGGATAAGTAAAATTGTATTCAATCATCACACCGCAATATATATTAAGTGATGTACATCATCTTGTATCTAAATAAGGGATACGTAAGTTACTGTTACTATCACAGCCTAATAAAGCCAGCCAAATGCTGAACATATATACACATTGAATATACGCTTGGCAACCAACGTGGCAACCGAATTTTTTATTTTCTATCGTAATTAAGAAGATGCTGCTGCCCTTCTCCTGATTTGTTTCCCTTTGGCGTCTCTTATGACAGCCACGTGGTGATATGGGGTAGTGGATATTCTACACCGCCACTACACGCAATAATCTCGGTATGATCCTTAAAGTAATAAGCGTGCAAGGGTAAATTAGACAAAATTCTAGTTCCAATTTCACAGGCCTGCTCGCGATGTACTGGGTCGGCTGATGCTCTCACAACGGATTATTGAAATAATTGATAGAATCAGGCGTTACTTTGCGGAAATCCATTATAATAAAAAATAAAAATATAAATTTCTTTGCAACTTTCCGCTAAACATATAAAATGATGTGTCTTACCTGGATTGAAGCGCACCTCCCGCCCTCCCTCAATTGCATACACTAACTCCGTCACCACTAGACCAAGCATGCTTCAAGCATTTTTCCAATCGCATATGTAGCATCTGGCCCTTTTCCGATTTGAAATTGAAGCTGCAGAAGAGGTCGATGCAACTGGTTCTTCAAGCTGGGATTGATTTTTCCTTATGTATTTGCTCCAAAATGTTATCAATCCTCCTCTTTAGATCATTGGAAAAATTAGCATACCCTGTTTTCTGTTGCAATATAAATGGTGCTACCGAGTCTAAACCTATTTTCCTAATATATTTGTTCCTTTTCATGCGTTTTTCAGGATTGGAGGCTTTCCAAAATACATATCCATTAGCTGCAGAAATATTCAACATTGCCCAAAAAATTACACATGGCCGTCTCTGAGTTCTTCTTGCTACCGAGTAATTCGCACATTTTTGGTTTAAAGAATCAACACCGCCTTTGGTACTATTATAAAATTGAATGATTTCTGGTTTGCTGCTTTCAGTGTCGACGGATTCGTCATGGTGCATAGTTGAAATCATGATTACACTTTGATTCTTTTTAGGGACAAAGGAGCAAAGAGTTTTATCATTTGTGAAACCAAATAAACTGGAACCTACTGGACGAGTTTTATTCGGTAAGAATTTTGGAGGGATTTTGCGTTTATTTTTACGCAATGTTCCGACATATGTCAAGCTCAATTCTTTTAGTTTATCGACTAGTTCGATCGAGGAAAACCAGTTGTCTGCCGTGATATTTCTGTTTGAATTCTTCAAAGGTCCGACTAATTCCAAAACTGTGCGTGTTGGTATAGATACATCAGTTCTTCTTGATTCTGTTTTACCAGTATATATAAAAGCATTGTACAAATAACGAGTTTGAGAATCGCAAAGGCATAAAATTTTGATCCCATACTTCGCAGGTTTTGATTTCATGTCTACTCTAAATAAGCATCTTCCTCGAAACGGACACAACATCTCATCTACAGTGATATATTCAGAGCAACTGTAGTTTTTTGGCAGTTCTGTATAAACATATTGAATACTTCAGATATTTGAACTTAGGTCTACCAACGTTGAACTTAGGTCTAGTGGTGACGGAGTTAGTGTATGCAATTGAGGGAGGGCGGGAGGTGCGCTTCAATCCAGGTAAGACACATCATTTTATATGTTTAGCGGAAAGTTGCAAAGAAATTTATATTTTTATTTTTTATTTTGGATTATTGAAAATCCATCCAAAAACCCTAAACCCTGACGTGGTGACGATGGGGACGTGGGGAAGAGCCGATGTGTACAGATGTGATTTTAAAAGGCTAATTATGTGCCTTGCAATAAAATTAGTATGGTGCATGTGACTGATCATTCATTATTACCTAGCAATAACAATGTACGTAATGTTTGATGGATTTTACCACGTACCCATACAATTAGAAGTATCGTCTGAATATATTGCTTAATTTTACTAAGTAAATATAACATGGTCTGATATATTTTTATGTGGTAAAACCACGCTGCAGCTACATAATTATGGCCGTAGCAAGAATAGATTGGTTCGGCGAGGATTTACAGTCTTACAATACTAGCGTAAAATAACCGCATAATGCTGGTGTTTCAAATGGGGAGTTCAGAGAACCGGAGAACTATTTACAGGTAACAAGGTATTCCATCTTAGACCTTAGGGGTAACAACGCATCCACATTATGATCCTTAATTGTGGATAGATATGATTTTCTATGAGCTACAGCATCCACTTACCATCAGGTGGGCTGTGGAAAAAGTTGGTGTACACACGCGTTTATTCAAAACCTACCTATATACAAATGAGACCAATACTAAAGAATCGTTTAAGGTTTAGAAAAAAAACTTGATGCTTATAACTTTTAAACTTTATCATCATTCATCATTACAGCCCTTCACAAATCCACTGCTGAACATAGGCCTCCCCCAAGGTATGCCACAAAGCACGGTCCTGAGCCACCTGCATCCATCGACTTCCTGCATATCTTGCCAGGTCGTCACTCCATATAGTGGGGGGGTCGACCTACACTTCGCCTACCGGTACTGCCGGAGGCTGCCACTCGAGAACCTTTTTTCCCCAACGGTTGTCGGTTCTTCGAGCTATATGGCTTTAAACTTTATATTATTAAAAAAAATGTTGCAAACGGTAATGAATGGTAATTTACATTAAACTGACCTAAATCTGGAATGGAGCTGGAGGGTTCTTCGAAGGAAGGAGGCTTATGAAGACGCGGCGCTGGAGGCGGCGGCGGGGGCGGTGGCCGCATGCATTGGATGACAGAGTGCGGCGCCGGCGCCGGCAGCATCACGGGCGCCCGGAACTCCTTCCCTGGCGCAGCTGGTAACTCCAGCCGCCGCGCGCTCATCAACTCCGCTTCGTAACCCATCTCTGGTGGCTCGCGTTTCGGCGATAACTTCGCATAACACTGCATAGTTCTACCGTGTAAAGTCTTGAGAGCGATTTGCTATGACGCTTCTTAAAAACGCGGGAAAATATTCACACACGATTTAACTTACGCGAGCAATATCCGTATTAAATGCACATTTCGGGATCTGAACGCGGGGAGCAAGCGAATGGCGGGACGCAGCTGTTATTTCAACCGCGTGTTGCGGGGCGGGGCGGCGCGCGCCGCTCCACTCGCGGGACTCGTTCGCTCGCCGCGGCCAACTTTCTCTCACTGGCGTGGCAGCGGCCGCGGGCGGACGAAAGTGAATCTGCAACGTGCGCCCCGCGCACCTCCACCCCCGCCCTCAGGTAATGCACCGCCCGCCCAGTGCTGCCGACAACGCCGCTGCTTGCACCACCCTACCGGCGACTACTTTAACCTTACCCTATGACCTCTGAAGTGCAACGATCCGCGAACCCTTCGATCAATTTTTAGACACCTCAACAATCCTTTATTTGCATTTTTATGCACTTAGGAAACCATATTATTTTATAAAAAATTACAATACGATACAAAGTGAGTAAGATAAGTATATAGATTACATTTAATATAGATAGATATAAAATAATTTAGTAGGTCTAGCTGCAACACTTTATAGTTATTATTTTAAGCCAATGTAGACTTGCGTGATTATTTCAGTAGATATATTATAATATATACAATGTATACTGTGATCATTTCTTTTTTTGTTTACTTAAATTAAGTAATACCTACCACTTCTTTTCGTGATTCAGTACAAAATTATTTCACTACGTTTTGTTACTTAACCTTGAATGTTTTTAATATTATTTAGTTATGGAAATTTAACGAGCAAACGTCTAGTCAACATAACAATCGTTCTCATACGTGTGTAATAATGCGTAACCTTCACGCAGTTTATTTATTCTGTGACACAGTTCTATCGTCTTCCGCGATTGGTTCGCATGAAATCACGACTACCTCCAGTATGCTAGGCTCAAGCATCAAGCTCCGAATAACTTCATAAGATGCTATTTGCATTTGCAAATGCGTCAAACGATGTGAACAAGGAATATGAAATTTTATTCTATCATTGCTCATTTTAGTGAAATGTATTCACAATATCAACGTCAGAAAGTACCCAGAAGCCACCAGTTCGAAGCAGAAGTGATTTGAAAAATGTTCAAAATTAGAATTTAAAATTTTTAGTTTCTTACCATCATTACAGCCCTTCACAAGTCCACTGCTGGCAACATAGGCCTCCCCCAAGGAATGCCACAACGCTCTTGAGTCACCAACATCGTCCGAATTTCTACATATCTTAACAATTCGTCGTGGGACGCCGTACACTTCGTCCACCGGTACGAGGCTGCCACTGGAGAACATTTGTTTCCCATCTGTTGTCGGTTTTACAAGCCCAACGGATTGGTAAGCTGAAGTGGCATGCCGGCCCATTGCCACTTCAGCTTACCAATCCGTTGGGCTATGTCGGTTTCTCTGGCTCTACTGCGAATATTTTCATCTTTAAGTCCATCACGCAGGGAAATCCCGAGTATAGCCCTCTCCATAGCTTGCTGAGCGATCTTGAGCTTCTTAATACGGCCAGCAGAGAAGGACCACGTCTTAGATCCATAAGTCATCACTGGCAACACGCACTGGTTGTACGAACCTGTTTGGAAGTTTTGTGGTATGCCCGACCGCTGTTCAGACTATTTGTCCCAGGTATTATTAACTTCAAACGTAGTGCTCCTAACAACTACCGGCATAGATCACGTTACACATAACCTTTTTTGTCCAAGTTCATCTTAAGCTATATGCATTGGGAAACACTATTAAAGTGAAAAATTTTTAGTCATGGAGCTTTTTTTAGAATAAAGATGAAAAACAGGCATATAGTCCACCTGATGGTAAGTGTTTCCTGTGGCCCATAGACATCCACATCTATCCCCAGTTAAAAATCAAAATGCCGATGCGTTATCACCCATGAGGACTAAGATGGAATGCCTTATTCCCAGTAAAAATGGTATCCGGTTCTCTACACTCTCCATACGAAACATCAACATTAAGCTGCTATCTTAACTCCAGTATACTGTTATATTATTTCCATTCGTGTTACAGCATATAATAGTATACATACATATATATATGTATATATATATATATAATACATATATAATAGTATACATACATACATAGCATACATAGTGCTTATGTCCTCTCCAACGATTCGGCCATAAGGACTACAAAGAACGGCAAATTAAAAGTGAGTGATGTACTCGTCAATGAGTTAGACATTATCCTATCCAGTCCAGTAGCTTGAAAACGTCCTTCAATGCAACGGTGAAGAATTTCGGGGATATAACGTCACCTTGTCTTACAGTCCTTTGCTGATGGATAGGTTTCGTGCTCTGGTTCTGTACTCGAATAGCCATCGTAAACTTACTGTACACACATTTCAGCACTTTGATATACCGATAGTAAACTTGGCATCGTCGAAGGGGCTGCAGCGCCGCCCAAATTTCGACGGAATCAAAGGCTTTCTCATAGTCCACATAAGCAAGACAAAATGGATGGTTGTACTTTTGGCTTTGTACATTCCAAGGGTGTACAAGGCTAAAAAGCCTTTTCGGCCAAAGCCAGCTTTGTTCGGGAGGCTGGATGTCGTGCGAGTCTACGTGCGAGACCATTCGTAATAAAGCTCGAAAACAGCACGTAAAAGCAACTCAAAAGGGTAAACGGTCGGTAGATAACTCATGCATAATGATAATGAACAATATGGTACGAAAAAAAAGCCGCGTAGGGAGAAGGGAAGGAACAGGCTCGACCAACAAAAGCCGACCACCAGGGGAAACACTTACCATCAGGTGGACGGTGTGCTCGTTCGTCACCCTATCGATAAATAAATATAGACATATGCATACATATATACGCTACAATTTATCAATTCACCCAGGGTTCACTGATAAAGTTATAGAGAATTAATTACCTACCAATCAAATCTGAATGATGATCAAATCTATAAAAGTGATAGCCTATATACACTCAACTGCTGTACTACAGGCCTCCTCCAATTACTGAAAGGATTTTGGGCTTTTACGGTAAGAAGGTCCTTCGAGCTGCCATAATGCTAGTTGTCAGACTACACACGTATCGGAAATAGTTTATTTTAGCTTCCTGACGAAGTTTTCTTTCATCGCATAGTATGTAGCCAAATTAACGATTGCAGTTAAAATTTTTAGTGGTACCAGCACTATGAAAAATTAGGGGGAGCTGTTACGATACTTTATATTTTAAAAAATAAAATAAGGCGAAGAAAGTGGGTGCAAGAAATATTTAAACAGATTTTGCTTTATTTACTAAGAACCAGCTAATAATTAACATATTATAAGGTTAAGCTAACACCAGCTTAAAATTAACATATTTGTACAAATGAATGGCCTTGACTTGACTCAAAGGGAGTAAATAATTTAAAAGAGAAAATAAAATAAAATTTGACGTCTCATCTGGATCACGTACATACGTACATACATGATCAATGATGTGCACAATTTTTCCACATTAAATTGTTTGTATCGACCTTGATCTAAAAACATTATTGTTTATTTTAAACAATGTTTATTTTAACTTAATCTAAAAGACACGTCTCAGCGTAATGTTCACGCATGTATTATGAGATCATAAACCAATAACTTGTTCCAATGTTTTAAAAATCCAATGTGAAAAATATTTAATTTATTTACAATTAAACATAATTATTTCTTATATACACACGATTGACGTTGAATAAAATTAAACAAAAAAGATGTTAGAAGAGTTTTTACTATCCGTCAAATGTAATATCCCTCCACAAATTGCGGGAGTGTACAAGTTTAATTGTACACGTTTTCATAATGATTTCTTATATTTACGCGAACACTATACATGATTAAAACTACTTTTACGGATTTTATATGTGATCTCTCTTATATAGGACAAACAAAAAGATCAATTAGGACCCGCGTAAAAGAACATATAGCTGATGTGAAGCATCAATGTTCCGGGAAGTCTGCAGTTTGTGATCATATCCTAGACGGACCCAACAATTACATCAGATTTGATAGACCATAAATCCTCGCGAAAGAACACCGATTCCTACCAAGGATGATACGTGAGGCTATTGAAATTAAAAAACATCCTAATTTCAATAGAGAAGGAGGCTGGGTACTACCACCTGCTTGGGATCCTATAATCAATAAAATTAAAACTAAACCCAAGCATACCACTGCAAGACCTCAGGACATAGTCAGTTCATTTTGCATAGATCGGACCATAAACAATAATTAAAAAAGCTGAAGGTACTCCGGGTTTAACAATGACATCGGGACGTCAGTCATCTCAGTCCCCCGTGACCATGGGTGCTGGAAAGCGCCCGAAACGTCGGGAATCAAAAATAAAAGTAAATAAAAAGTAAAAATAAACGCGATAAAATCCGTAAAAGTATTTTAATCATGTACACGTTTTCTTTGTAGAATAAAAAAATTGTAAACGCGGTCTCTTTTACACAGGACAAACAAGAAAATCTATAAAAAGTAAAAACCCGCGTCAAAGAACTTCTCACAGTCGTGAATCACCGACTCACGTCTGTAGCCCTCTGTCTCTAGTCCTCTCTCTATCCTCTGTCTGTAGCACCATTACATCAGACTTGATAAACCACAAATCCTCGCAAAAGAACACCGATTCCTACCAAAGCTGATTCGCAAAGAGTGTAAAAACACAGCATACAGCGTTATAAACTTAAACAATTTAAATATACCCTGCTTCTCCTATTCGATTGACTGATAAAAACTAAAATAGCTTGTAATAATAAAATCAACAAATAATTTACATAGAGAGACATTCCAAATATGTAAAAATCTAACTTTTAGTAAAATGTAAAACCCGACTTCAGAAACTAAAAAGAATAAAAAAGAAGTATAAAATAAAAAAGAACAAATAAGAAAATTATTTCCTCTGTACTTAGCTACGAAACGATACCATACGATATTAATTGATTCAGATAAATCTATTTGTGAGTATTGATGAAGTTTAATCTTAAATTAGTCAATACTCATCGACAAAAAAGAGAATGCCGAGTGGCATGAAGCATGCTTTCATGCCCTCTGTATGCTTTCATAGGAATAGAAAAAAGATTACATAAATAAATAAATATCCAATGACGACCCTTAAACTCGGTCAGTGTTAAAGTCGATAAGTTAAACGTAATTGCGTTATCACTTCCGTAAGTCACAGATACTGGCTGCGCAATCGATTCTCAGTGACCGTACGGGCACGCTCACC